CTGAGCTAAACCATCTCTGATTGAGTTCGTTCTGTATATTGAAGTATCACTTTATTTCTAGCGCCGCCTTGAATGTTGAAATTATGGTCCAAGCTGGGATGAATCTATAGATGTGTTAGTGAATCATAATCGGAGTTCGAACCATAATTTCAACATCTATAATTAAGTATGGATGGTTTGACCGCCCGCCGAATGATAGTTAACTTCAAAGCTCAGTCGGTACACTCTGCACTGACATCGCAGCAACGGTCATGCGTTCGATTCCCGTTGAAGTCTGAATATTTTTCGGTCGGTCCATTTAYGAACAATCGCTTAGTTTCACTGCGAGCGAATTATAAAGATCCATTTTAGACAGAAAYCTTGACTGAGTCGTGGACTGGAATTAATTGTGTAGTTTTGAATATTGCTTTAAAAAATACTATGATAAAGAAATCCATCATGTTTTGTCCCAAACATATCCTACAATGCATTTCATTTACTGCTGTACATGACGTAAAAGCTTCAGAGGACTATTCATATCCTTTGAAAGAGCATTCAAAACTACAGCAGATTTTTGKCAAATCCATTCCAATCCTAACGGCGCGTCATGTACCTCATTGTAGGATAAAAAAAGACAGTTTTCTCTAGAAACTGATCCCACAATGCATTGAAAATTTAAGTGCATATATGGGTTCAGAAATTTTGATTTAAAATAAAAGTTTAGACTGTCATGAATTATGTTTGGTGGGTTAAACTCGAAAAAAATTTTTTTAGTGTCATTTTTTAAGGCCTAAAAGTGCTAAAAATTCCCGTTTTGGGCCTCCTGTACCAAAATTTTGGAGCGATGCAGAAGTCTGGTAACTAACATTTCATGACGTCATTCACGGAACTCGTCACCAAGAACAATATWGTTTCCAGTCATTTTCCAGTAAAAAAACTATAAAAATTCTATTTAATTCCGTRCTTAAGAATACGATTCCTCTTCCAAAATACCCGATAGCAGTTGTCAAAAGTTGTGGTAACATAAACAGTTGTGAAAACGCTATATTTCCTAGCACAAAATTCAGTATTACGGCGACCAGCGACAAGAGGCAATTCGACGCCGSAAAGAGACGAGACATACTTGTTGGCGCTCTTTAGTGAACTTTGCAAAAACATTTGTGAGTAATTAGAGGAAAACACGCGAATTTTTTCCATAAAACCTTGAACGAAGCCTTTTATAATAATACAGTTTGTCCGTCCATATTCATACACTTTGCCTCCTAATGCAGGATATGATCGCGTAGCTACTCAATTTTTGGCCAAGTTTGGCTGTCCGCATATGAAACCTTTTATACTTAATAACAATAGTTACGCTAAACAAGAAACCAACCTCTTTTAGCTTGATTTTTATGCACGAGTTTGTCATCAAGTCACAGATAGAGTCCGAGTAGAGCGTTTCCAACGGAAAATTTATAAGTGCCACGGCAAAGGTGTTTTGTATACTATATATGCCCAGCAAAGACCAGCGAGCTTTATACAAAGTAGGACTGCTTAAAATGAGCGCTTAGTATTTCTAAACAAACTTTCCCYAGTGTGGTTTCAACACAAACAGTCAATTGGCCGTGATTTGAAGAAATTTCTGAAATTTTGGACTGCCGTGCACCGAGTTTTTTTAAGGCCGTGACCGGCCGCCGGGCATCTTACACAGCGTGTTTAAAATACTCAGAGAAAGTTCGTGTAACTATACATTTCTTGACAACATTGGTGAAGTTTGCCCGTCCACATATAAAACCTTTTTATGTTAATACTCAGCTAGCCACTCTTCATCTGTAATCGGTTCGTCGCTGTACTTTAAAGCATTCATGTCGCGATATGCTTCAGGATGCTTCGAAGTGGTCTTCGATAAAGAGGTCATTTTGCGCATTGATCGGTTTCAGATTCGAACTTCATAATTACTCAGAAATGTAACAAGAGTCACTACATTCACTGCTGCAATCAGACATGTCTTTTTTCAAGAAAAATCGGTCGTTTTAAAGATCACTTTGTCAGTTCTGTGAAGTTTAGTGTTGCTGACCGTAAGCTTGTTCCGTGAATGACGTCACTGGACGGACTAGTACCGGGCCTCCATAACGCTCAACTTTTATCAGCTCACTGTTCCGCAGTTTCAAAGCTTAAAAATATACGAAATTTATATAGTGTCGTAAAATTTCCTTTGATTATGCGATTTTTAATGTCCAAACTTTCATTTGAAAGAAAAATTGCTGAACCCATATATGCACTTTAAGTAGTTGCGTAGAAGGTTCAGAAATAGACTTGTTACATATATTCAATGCGAGTAAAGAATGCATTGAGACGATGATGAAATCAAATGGAATCCAACAGATAGCAATGCTATATATGACTTTTTTAGCTCTTTTTAAACTTATGGTTTAATACTCTTTTTCGGTTAAATTTTCTTATGCACTAGGGAAGTGAAACGCGCTTTTGATCACTATTGAAAGATGAAAATAACAGAGTAAACTATGGTGGCTCACTCACGCTTTTCGTAGATTCCTCATCAAGTAGAAATAATAATTAATAATATTTAATACACAATGAATGTAATCAACATACCTACTATTGGTGAAATAAACTTGATTGATTGATTGAAATCATATACATGATCTCTGACTCATGCAGCGATGTGCAAGGGAAGGGATCGTTATCTGCCATATGTCTTGCYTTCACAAAATGACGGATGATGAACAATGAAGATAAATTATTAGCAAGACTGATGGAGATGAGTGGGACAAGACTGACAAAAGAATCTATTAAATTTTAGACGTTTGTTCCTTTTCTTTTTCTAATGTTTTACTACTTTCACTCATGAATGTGCATTTCATTTTGTTTTATCTACCGAATTKCATTATGAACTGTGAAAATAGGAGCCGAGRTGAATACGAACACACTCATGCAGTTTTTCTTCTTGAATACCCGTCTTCATAAGTTGTGGTAATTTCTCCAAACGTCGTATACGTAATTCGCCGATTTCACAGTGCAAATTATAAGTGCCGGTAATATCATCGATATGCRYATGAGATTCATCAGTGAATAGATAGTAAAGAGGATACTACTCAATGTCCAGGTTATTATTAGAGAATCAGAAATTCTGGTCACCAGTTCAGTCTCAAACAACAGATGARTACAAATCCCACCATTCCCGATCAGTCCATTTCTGCCACAAAGCTAATTCTACTAGGAAGCTAAAGCCTGGTTTTCATCACTAGCGACGCAAGGACAAGTATACATCAAACAGGCTCGAAAAGAATGGCTTCCACGTCAGACCTATTCTTTTTGGCTGAAAAACAATACACTAGCCCTGTGCAAGAGAATTATATTCAGACTGATGTGAAACAACTGTCAGCTTATAATGAAATATTTTGCTGTGGGAATCCAATCCTTTTAGCTACAATAGTATAGAAGATGTCGATAATTGTTTTGCTTGAATCTTAGTTTCGTTAAGTTGGCTAACTAATTAAAATTACTCAAAAGTCCGGATTGTGAAATCACATTGTAAAGACTGTCTGGGCTAATGCTAGTTCAACTCARTGACTATCAATTTGAATTGACAGGCTGCCAGGCTTACCCCACAAAAAAACTTCTGATTCTTTGGCTTCTCTTCTCTTCTCATTGAAAATTAATTTGAATTAACTGTGAAGAAATCACTGTCAGAACAAATTTAAATCGCTTTATACTAGTTATAGTAGTAATGACATGAAATCCAAATCTTACGTTTTAAAGTAAATTTTCCAAACAATAGTTTTTCCATTTTTTCCGCAGTCCATGCATTCAGTCGCTTTGTCGATGATATTTCTAAATTKCTTATAGCGGAAATGTTATATAGCTTGAGTAGCAACAACAGAAACCCACCATTTTTTGCCTCAGTCTTAATATTCACTACAATCGGTTTGAAGATAATATGACGTATTTTCCTTYATATGCAAACGTACTACAGTGCGCGAATGGTTATATGCACGACCAGTAACCATAGAAACTAAGATGAGAAGCAGTGATGCTAAATTTCATAGCCATGTTTCACAATGACGTCACAGAAAGACWGCCTTRTACTCACGCCARTTGCCACTAGCTTATTTTTTTAATCTTTTTTTAAATATATTTTGACTTAGATTATCACGTCTATATCACGCTTGGATTGCCTGAGTTTCAACCAACGTTTTCCCGTAACCGGATGTATACAGGCTATACAATAGCTTGTATACCATATACGAAAATTTGAAGGCGAATTTTCGAGAAGGAAGGGAAAGGATTTACTTCCAATTTTCATTTTCTCAATGAGTTTAAACATGCTGATCTCTTCAGGATCCTTTACATTGGACTGCCTGTGAGGTCCCAGTCCACTTGGAGTATCATTCATATGACGTCATACATGGCGAGATGTCGACAGAGGAAGACGACGAAAATATGGCGGAGGCAGTTGTAGAAAACCGACTCAATACAAGGTTCTTTTGCCACGAATGCAATAGATTTATCTCACCAAACCTTCCGGTAAGAATGATTTATACACCAGGATTTGTAGATATATCAAATCTATCTATAGATCCTAAAATGTTTAACCTTTTTTAAAGCTTTGTAAGCTTAAACTGTACCAATGAATTTTATTTCACAATRTTCGTAGCAAGTTTCCTTCTGATTTGACAGTTTCACTTTCGTTTTTTATAACAGGATTTATAAGAAATTTTCTGTCTGTTGTTATTCCAGCTTAGTCGTAACGTTTAATTAAATCCTGACTTAAGTAAAATGAACTCCGTAATATTAAGCGTACATCTGATAGTGATTTAGTTGGTCGTTTCCAGYAAATCTGCGTCATTCCATCAGTAAGCATGTTTTCCAATGGCAAATCTAGATTTGATTTTTGTTCTTGTACAGGAAAAGGGTTGACTTATTTAGGCCTACTATGCATGTTTACGTGTTCTACTTGGTAATTTTAATTCTTCATATAAGAAATGGCCTAACGTTCAGCTTCCGCTTAGTTCAATTTCAAATCTCTAAAGCTTGGGATTGATGCTGTACAGTAAGTCTTATGGGTAAACGCTTTTAAGTTTTCATGTGTCAAAAACCATTACAGGATATTTATTACTTAGCTGAATCTTGCCTATTATGCTGGTGTCTTTGTACATATTTTGAGACAGTTTGGTTGTCTACACAGTCCAAAATGTATTTAACGTCTCATGGTCTCTAAGCCTAATGACGTCATGTTTGTTTTGAGGAAGTGCATATTTGGTGGCATTGATGGAAAGTATAAAAAAAAAACAGTTGTTGAGGATTTTTCAAAAGAACTTTTAATAACACAGTGTTCAGTGTATGCGCACCAGAGGAAGTCAGCCACCAAACAGCAAAGTATTTCTGATCTGGGTTAATAAAATTACTTCATTCCCACCAAGGTGTAAACATCTTAGAGCTGATTGATGGAGATGCTCAACAAACAAGAACATCAAGCTAAAATTTTAACACAACTTAGCATTGGTACACTGTATAGAACACACTGTGTGCACCACTTTCAGYCAGYKTAAYATATTRYCATTTTGACTTCAAACAATTGCTATTTGATGTATTGCTGCTTGCTAAACAATGTCTCCTCTTTTCAAAAGTTTGAAAGAGTCGACTTAAKTCTACATGTCTTGTAAGAGTAAAACAAAGTGGAAATTTATGTGAAGTAACAGCAAAATCTTGCCTCTTTGATATTATATAAAACTAGCTCTACACTATATGTGTATTGAGCACTCTTTAATGGGATCAGCTACTTCCTCATACGATTAYGATTTGGTAAATAACTTATATTAACTTAATTCTATCTTGACTTATTTAAAACAAAGACTTATAGCTCAATGGCGGCAGCTAGCTGACCCATTGTCACAGCTATTGGAAGCCCACGTAAGCAATCCATGATCKTCTAGTTTATAATATCGGACCTTGAAAACAGGCTTTTTGACCAATTACAGCACGTGTTATATTATTTTTGAAAGGTCTAATAATCATGAAGCAAAAGTAGGTCATTAAATATTGGAATTTCTTGATGCTTTGAAAATTCACCCTGAAATGAAAATCAAGCTGCCAATGGCAACATAACTCGAAGATTGATTGTATAGACGAATTCGGAACAATGAAGATCTAATATATTTATAAGTAAACGATTTACGAAAAAAAAATTTTTTTGTTAAACTTATTAACGAAAAAAACTGTACGGCACCATTGTACTTCAAGTGTTTACCAGTTTCCGAAGCAGTTCTATAGTATTCTCGATATCAAACCACACAATAAACTATATACCAAATATAACAATGTTATAGTACGTTAGCGAGTGAATACATTTTTTGAATTGTAGACGAATATGAATGAATAAAACATACGTAAAATGATTTTCGAAACGAATTAGTCGGATCGGCAAGTCTTCCTTATGCTTCCGTTGTGACTGAACAATACAACGAATCAAATCAAATTCGGCCGAGACGTTTGTCAACAACAATTTAGGGTTGAGAAGCTTCATGTAAGCTTACATTTCCATGGATCCGTTTTACTGACTCTTTCTAAATGTTAACACACACTCGAAGCAGAAACCATTTGAAAAACGTCTTTCAATTTGTACATTTTACGCAAAAGAATCTTAAATGACATTTTGCTCCTCAGCAGTTTTATCGATTATGACACAGGAAACCCATAGATTGATCTGATCGGGTGTCGCATAAAAGCTAGTAGTCATGACCTAATGTCTAATGGGCACATGGTTTAGTGGTAGTGTCTTTGCCGTTGACGCGAGAGGTTCAGAGTTCGAGCCTCATCGAGGACATGAATTTCTTTGTCTTCAAGAAAAAAGGAACAGGTAGACCGTGAAGATGAATAATTAAAAATTAATAAGTCAAGATAGCAGTTACTAAGGCAACAACGCAGTTTACAGGAAAGTGAGCTCTACTTAGTGAGTGACATATCGTTCCCCTACAGTAACTCTTCAATTGCTAACACAATCTCCGAGTTAAACATTATTGATTCTAATATTAAATTATCTTTTTAATTCAAACCAATGTTCAGTTCACCACTTTTCCACATCAAAGAATCTAAATAATTTATTGTTTGTAACCACACCTGCACAACTTGCCTAAAGCTGGTTTTTTCAAACAAATCTGATTGGTTGCTCTTCTCAAGAATCTGTTGATTTTAAAGTGTTCACATGTGTGTTGTACAATATGTTGACAGGAGTACACATGTCCACAATGCCAGGGTGGATTTGTAGAACAGCTCAATGGTGATGAAAGGTATGCAAAACATTCTTCTCCAGTAACTACATCAATCACTAGTTTCACCCAACTAGCAATCAATATTTTCTTGGTTCATACTACATTTTGAAATATTATTTTATCATATGACATATTGTTCTCTTAGTGAAGATGATAACAGCATTAGTGTAGACTCTGAAAGCCCAGATCCAGCATCAGAATTCACAGAGGTAAATTTAGGCTCATTATTTCTAGTRACAATGATTCATATTATTTCAATGCTAATGTAGTGGTGTTATCTTTGGTTAAAGGTTACTATTTTATGGATAAATTTACACACAGGTGTTAAATTCCATGGTTTTATGGATGAAAATACTATTTAGAATTATTGCTTTACTACATACATGTATAATTAAATCATATGCATTTTAAGTTGTTYCCCCAATGCAAAGATCCAAATAGATGTATTGCTGCAGTAGATATATTCCTACAATTAACTATAATTAACCTACAATCATTATCATTTTAATGAATTGTGATAGTTACATGTAATGCATTTTGTGTTCATATTGTAGTTATGGGGTAGAATGTTTTTAGGTCCAAGTACATCAGGTAAGAAACATTTCTTGTGTTCTTGAGTACAGTCACTTTATTTATCAAATATAATTTGGTAGTCAAGGTGTATTCATGTTCTCCAGTAGACAAAGGATCCAAACAAATGCAATGTACTATCTATCCTTGAGGTGTAATCATATCTGACAGGTTAATGTTAYTCTAGGTCAGGTATTGTGTGTTRATTAAGTGTTGAAGTAGTGTTCTGTTGGACTCCCTAATTTGACTTGCAGAGCTTGAGTGACTCAGTGCTTGACTTACATGTATGAGATTAATTTTTTGTGTGTTTGTRTGTTAAAGATGGTGTTGAAAGTAGGCGTCTTTACAGATTTCGTCCAGTGGCCAGACAGCGAATATCAATCAGGCCACGGATGGGTGGAGAAGGAGGAGCAGGGGCTTCTAACAATGCTACAGCAGAGGCAGCAGCTATTGATTTGTAAGTGTCTTGTTAAGGCTGACAATTATTTAAAAAAAGTTATATTCATATAGTAAAAAAAAAGATAATTTGTCCAGCAAAAGGGGGACTGTGGTCCCTTTGTCCCCCAAATCCACCCCTGCTGTGCCTTGGCTTAAAAATGACTGTTGATGATAGAAACATTTTGTCAAACTTTTTAGTCATGCATCTCTATCATCCCACCCCAAAACATAGATCTATTATTATTATTAGACCTTATTTAATGTGTAGCTGACGAAAGACTGAAGACTTGATGAGATACTTTGTAAATTAAAAAGACTAGATTCATGATTTTAAGCACTGTAATGACCCATGTGATGCTTTGGTGTGTAAGACATTTCTCTATACCAAAAATCTTAACAAATCTTTTTTTTACTTTTCCTTGTTCAAAGCTTCAAAATAATCCAGATAACTATACTTTCAAGCAATTAAAACACTAGTTGARATGTTGAGGTCAAAAAGTATCAGGAAAGCGAGTYGACTTGGTTGCTCRTGTTAAGAGACTGTATACTAGGAACTTGTTCATCCTGGCCATGTGCCGTCTCTGACGTTGGACTCATTTTTTAGATAGTTTTTATTTACATGACTTTGTAAATAGTACCCAATTCAGCTCTWCTGATAAAAAAAGAACAAACCAAAGCTTAATGTCCAATCAGATTCAATTCGCTCAAAAGTTTTACGTGGATGACTAGTTTTGAACAATGGACTATTGTTATTCTTTAAGCTCTTCTAACTTAATTTAAATTCTCAAATCTTTACCTTGACCTTGACAATGATGACAAGATGTCATTGAAACATYGGTTTCTAGCATTAGTTTTTCTTATCAATTTAATATATTCATCCTAAAACTTGTTCTGGTTTGGAATTTTCAAGGAAAAATTACAAGCAAACAGCTCTATTTTTCCTAACATTCCCTCAAGTCCCAATAATGATTCAGTGCACAGAGTGCGGTGGTCGGTCCAAGCCAACGAATCACAATTTATTGGCAAAAGCAAGAACAAATATCTTATTTAAATTTTTTCGAGAACTAGATCTAGTAATATAAGGCATACTACAGTAGAAACTAGAGAAGTTTTAAACGCTTGTAATGTACTAGAGTCTTGGACSACAATGATTGAACACTATCCTAATTAACATAAACACAATAGATAGCTAGGCCCAGGGCCTTTCGTCCATTAAGGAGATTATTTCTCTTCCAGAGAAATACATTTCCTCAAGAAACAAGGTTCCAATGTTCAACTTGCAACTGCCCACCTTCATTCTTGTTTACAATTAATGAAGATGAAAACTTRACAAGCTAAAAATGAAAAAGTTGTTGGATACTAAAACTATTAGACCTCTTGCCCTCATGGGCTRCGTTCATTAGCCCACTTGACCTTCAGTCTGTAGCCCATTTGTGCTTCGGGTCTAATTGTTGAAGACGACATACAGCAATATGAAAAAATTATGATGGTCTTTTTTGCTCATATTTCAAGTATATATAAAATATATAAGAAATTATTGGATATCATTACCTATATTTTTTTCAAAAAMGTACTACATTGTAGTGCTAGACAACTTCAAAAAATATCAGTGATGATATCCCATAATTTCTGATATATGTTATTATATTATAGTTAAGTACATGAAATATGAGCAAAAAAGAATAATTTCTGCATATTGCTGTATATTAATGGATGTAGGCATTTTATTAATGTAATTTTCACTTACTGTATCTAATATGCACTAAAATTTACTCATTTCATTAAACTATCTATCAATATCTAACTAAATCTATCTGAATTTTACTAACACATCAAAATGCTTTGTAGAATAATACAGAATTTACTGGGAATACCTGGCATGGGTGAGTATTCCATGCATATCTTATTATTTAAGAATTATGTTGCAAAAGTGAAGTTTCTTAACCCTTTAATTGGGGTTATTTCTGCATGCACTAGTTTCAAAAACTATTATTAACAAATATAACACCATGATCTACTAGGAAAGGCTGTTGACTGCATGTGGCTAGCTACATGTACATGTATGATCAATACACCATCCATCCTCCAGTACAGAACCCAATCAGAGCCATTACACTTTCTTTTCTATTTTGTAACCAATCAGAAGCGCTGGCCTTAGTCTTCTTGCTCATTATGCCAGGAACAACTGCCATGACAACTGGCATGACAACTGCCATGTCTGGCCTGAAAAGTTTACACAAAAACAATTGAAAATGCTCTCTATTCATTCCCCATTCCGAAATTCAAAAAGGGACTGGTGACTAGTCGTAAACTTGATACCGTTTGAAGCAATGGAAAAATAGATACCAAGACAAGAAAGAGCAAATTAAAAATAGTACAGTTTCTGAGTTTGAAGGAATTTGGATTAATGTTTGCAGAGTTACAAGCGTTTAAAACTCGAAAAATTTACAAAGAAATGTATGGAGCACTTGAGCAGCGTCCCCAAAAACCATACATTCTCTCTTATTTTTACAAATTTGAAAAAAATTCTACTAGGTGAGTATTCGACTTAATAGTCTCAAACTTAGCAAGAACACTAATTGTAGTGTGGTCTTTCATGTGGTKAGATTCAATTTTGGATAAGTGGACAATTTTCATACTCATTCCCAGTCTCCTTTTGAATTTCGGAACGGCCAATTGGCTCAATAGCCACACACTTTTCAGTTTGATTTATTGACTTGTGTTTCTCAGAGCTAGATTTTCGGAGAATTTATAGTAACAGTACTGCATTTGCATTAAGATATTTCTGTCCACACTGTGCAAAACAAACTTATCACATTACTGAATGTCTTAGACAATTTATAATACGTCRCAGATACGTCGCCAACTGTTTGCAGTAAGTAGCATGACAGTGAATGCTAATTTATGCAAATTAGCTTTTTTCAGACATTTTTACAAGTATTCTCATAGATAAGCCACACCCCCGATTTGGGAATGATTTCTTTGGAAAAAAGTGTGGCTTATACATGAGTAAATACGGTACTTTCTTTCTTTCTAGACTGTTAGCAAACTGGCTAGACTAGCCTCTTACAACACAGCTAGCGACCATAAGAACTATTCATGATGTTATATTAACCCTAACATGTGACTAATATAACTTACATTTCCAGTTGGAAGAGAAGATGGTCCAAGCACCAGTCAGAATATTCCTTTCCCACTGTAAGTCTTTGTGCATGTATAGCTGTTTTATGAAATGTTGTCAATGGCATGAGTATTAATAGGAACTGTTGGTTCAGGGAACCTATTATCAATATATTTAGCAATGATTAGATATAATGCATGAGATTTAAACTGCTCTGTGCAATAACAGTACCCCTCCCCTCCCCTGATGGATTGGTTGAAACTTTCACTAGTCACAGAAACCCCCAAATTCCTCCCTTGAAGTGATTGATTAGTTGAATGTTTTCACTAGTCACAGAAACCCCAAAAATCCTGATGAGCTTCATAGCTTTGAGGCTGTGGGATCATTGTGATTTCATTTTATCTTGAAAATGACAGSATGATGTTCTAAAAAATACTTTTCATTATATCATGATGATTTTAACTTTTTATGAAATTTGTTGGTATTCAGAAGAATGTTACAACTTCACGGTAACCCAGGTGACTATGTATGGGGAAACAATGGCTTAGATTCAATAATCACACAGGTAATCCAACTGTATATCAAATTACTATACTGGGTTGTACACAAAGAACTTGATCACAACTATTGCAAATTTGTTGACTTCAAAATTCTTTTATGTGATTTTAGTTACTTAACCAGTTAGAAGGGACTGGTCCGCCTCCAGCTGAAAATGACAAAATAGAATCATTACCGACCGTCAAAGTAACACATCATGATGTAGGYACGTATCAATATTTTCAAATCACGGTTGTAAATAACATTAAATGCATGGATTGGTATAGATATTTGAGAGAATGGCAACTTAGAATCATTTAACATATGGATTCTACGTTTTTGTAGCTTAGTGAAGGACACATCCACTAATGATAGATAGTGCATACAAATAACTATTGCCTTGGAGAGGTAGTTCCTTTCGCTTGTACAATATCTTTTCACTATTCTCTCCAAATATCTTTTTTGATATATATTATATATATATGAATGCAAGAAGCCGGCAAGAAGTAAAACAATGCGTTCTTAATCTAGAGAAGTTATCCTTGAGTAGCATGATAGCAGGAGTAAGAATATGGCAAATGCGGCCACTGGATGCTGCTGTTCTTGTTAACATTAACCATACTCTAAAATTGATGCATGATATGAGAACCTTGGAATTTGTTTAATTCATGACATTTTCGTGGTTTACAGAAGCGAAAGTYGATTGTGCTGTATGTCAAGAACCATTAACATTAGATGAAGAAGTCAAGGCGTTACCTTGTAGACACTTGTATCATAAAGATTGTATAGTACCCTGGTTACAAATGGTTAGTAAAATACACAAAATGGCTGCCACTATTTTCTTAATTTTTTTAAATCTAACACACAAAAAATGACCCCTGAAATGCTAGRACATACTTTGCTTAGAAGCTGTGTAAAATCCTCTGAGGTTGTAATGAAAGCCCGTAGAGATTTTTTCAAATGAACTTTGATATTTTATAAAGAAATTTGTTTTGGGATAAAAGCTATACATTCCTCTGTGAAATATGCAGGCATTTATCGGAACATACCTGGATTTCACACCGCAATTGATAGTAAARCATAGGCTTTAGTGCTTCTGGATTATTTTGGATTTGTMTTAAAAAATATAATTATGCTAATTGTCGGCTGCCATTTTGGCAAAGTCTATATGATTGTAGTTGTRGGTATTGTTGCAAATTGACATTCCATTCCCTYTATAGTATTTTTAAGTAATTTGCAGCATCCAATTGGCTTCTATCTAATATGAACCATTTGTCCATGCCGCTTTTCTCCATTCCACGCTTTTTTTCTTGGTTTGCAACCTCTACTTGCATCGATAACTCAATGGATATACGCTAACTATGAACCATTTCCTGCAYACATATTGTCAATCTGACATACAATCATTTGTTATTTTTAGCATGATTCCTGTCCAATATGCCGATTGAGTTTGTCCAAAAAYCCAACAAGATGTAAAGAAGGAGATTAGGACCAAGAAATGATAAAATTAGCTGTTTTATATAATGTGTTGTTCCTTTAATAATGACTATTAGGTTTATTTAAAGCCAATAAACTATAGAACTAGACAAATTGCATTTCTTGTTATGTTTTTATTTGGAATGGATAGTGACAGGGGTTGATTTAGACGACAACTTTTGCCTACAACCATCATATTCAACCTATGTATAAGCCATCCTTACAACGTGGCTACAAATGTTATTATGTAGGGCTATTAGGCAATTGTTTTAAATCCCCACGACAGTTATAGCTATGTTGTATGGATGACATACAGTTTGCATGCGATGGTTGTGCCGTCTTTACGTTTCTTTCCTTATGACGTTTCAAGGAGTGTTGGACATACTTCAATAAAACGCTGGCAACTGTGTTTTCAACTGTGGGATGGTAATGAATGCATGGCGAATCTCAGCCAAATCTGCTGTTCTGTTGTTAAAGAGTTCCTTAGCAACGTGTGGATCTTACAAACACACAAAAATTATCGTTCAGCCTATGCTACCAACT